AAAAAGCACTTTCAGAAAGAGTCATTGCTGGGTTAGTGGTTATTTTGTATGCTCTTTCGAATGAGACATAAATAAGAATAAAATAAAATTTTCCTCCGAACAGTCTCACGGTACAGTACCCAGGTCGGTTTTTTGGCGAGGGTTCTATTAAACAAATATCAACATACTACATGAATAGATATTCAAAACATTAACAGATAATCTAATCATGTTTACCCTATAAAAAAAGATTAATATGATAGAGCCTACTAAAAGCCTGCACATTCTGTTCCAGCAGGCTTTTAGTAGGCTTTACCATATTAATCTTTTTTTATAGGGTATTAGACATGTCAGCGTTCCATTCTTGCTTCGACATTTTTTGGATGGTGTCATGTACAGGTTAGGTTAGTTATTTATTATTAACCATTTCTGACTTGACCAAAAATTCAACTGTGGACGATAAAATTTCTAAAAATCTTCTAGTGTTGAAATTAAACTTCTGTTCTGCTCATATTTCTTCTTATATACATATTCTTATTGTATACACTTTCTTTATATTCTTTTCTTGTCTGTCTGCTAATTAATTTGGTGATGATTTCGATAGAAAGAAATTTGGTGATCAAAACACATTTTCCCCAATTTATTTTGAATAGCTCTGTTTCTATTTTATCTCAACATATGTATTCTTATGAATGCACAAAAAAACGGTAGAAAAATATGAGTTTTAGTTATGAAATATGTTGCACATAACCATATTCTAAAGAAGGGATAGAAAACATTATTAGACAATCACAAATAAAATGCTTTCACTTTCATGCACATAGCATAGATAAACGTAAAATAACATTCACTTAAAATGAAAGAATAGTAGACATATGTATCACAATAGTTGAGTAGTAAATAAGTAAATAAGTACAAAGAAATACAGAGTATTAATAGAAACTAAATTTAATAAAGAAAACAAGAAAATGAGAAAAAAAAGTAAATTTAAAGATAACTGATGTAGATTGAGCTGGCTGCCTAGTGTCTTAAAAACTTTTACATTTGGTATTAAGGTTACTATTTCAGTCGAGAATAGGAGACTGCTCCAGTCAATGATAGTTTGTCAGAAGAAAGACAACTCTGTTGTTTTAGACTGAGGTCATTGTATGACAACAGGATTCGGATGAGATATCCGAAAGGTTTAATTGATTCATGAGCATCAAGAATAGCACGAGAAATGCCTCATATCAAAATCTTACAATAGTTTACTGGTCTAAAATGCTTTCATTTGAACTCTAGATCCGAAAATTCAATTTTATTATCTAAGTCAGAACTAATCTCATTATAATAAAACTTCTCGTTGGCAGGTAACACAAGCAATAAATTTATAGATAGATTTCAGAGACTTCATGTGATTAAATTAAATATTATCAAAAAATTGAACAAAAGTAGTCTATTTTTGGAAGAATATCGATCCTAAAGAGACGGAGGTATAGAAACATCTGTCGGTGTTCGCTTAATTACACTTAGCATTTTCTTACATGACATGACAGTTTTTTCTATGTGATGTTGTCATAGAAGATCTCGAATAAGATATACGCTTACATAGTCAGAATTAGACTCGTAAGACAAAATATTATTATTAGCGCAAAAAAATAAAATTAGAAGTGAATTTAAGTTAATCTAACAGAGTTAAGTCCAAGAGCACTTTCGGCATTTAGCGATATGTAGTTTGTATCATACCCATTAACAATACGATTTATTGTAGGTAGGATACGACTTCTTAAATATAAGTAATCGTCACTATCGTCTTTTCTGTCAGATGAAGCAATGACAAAAAGATTGTCTTTGAATTATATTGTAAAGAGATAAGAACATTAGCCCTTTCACTGGTATTCCAAAAGGTCATACTCGGCATCAAAAGGCGCCCGTACCAGGGAAAGAATTAGAAAGAAATTGATCGGAAATAAATATGAACATAAATAAGAAATTAATTGGATAGATTGATTTGTTCGATCTGACTGTAATCACTTTCGAAGCGCCTGATTTGCTCTAATACAAAATTTTTCACACGGATCTTAAAAGCTATTATTGCACCATCTTCTCCTTCTACGTATTAATATCAGACTGATATAATAAGGGTACTTCTGACATTTTTGTAAAAAATAAATATAAAAAAATACATAGAAAATTTTTTGATATAAATCAAATTTTTTATCACTGTGTTAAGCGACAGCTACTGTTGTTGCTTGTTGCGTAGACGCCACTTGTGCACCATCTTTTGACGCTTGCGAACGTTGCGACTTATTTCGTATATCATCTGGATCTCGAATGAGAGCAAGAATTTTTTCTAATTTACTTATTTCTGCTTCGGGTCCCTCCGATACTTCTTGACCTTTTTTCACTTTTGGTTTTTTTCTCAAATTTGGTGATAATTTTAAACTTGTTACATTGCCACGATCATCTCCAGCTAATAAAATTGGATAATGTTGGTTAAATGTAATATGAGTTAGTTTTGTACGCTTTTTTTGTACAACAATTGGTTCCGCAATCGGTTCATATTTGTTTACATTCAAATCGAATACGTAAACCTAAAATTTGATATTATCAATGTACCAAGTACTAATTAGAATATGTAAAAAAACAATTTACTTTTCCATCGGCTGTACATGCGGCAAACACTGTTGAAGAATAAGGTGCCCATGTTACATCGCCTACAGCACTTCCCAAATCGTAGACAAACAATGGTTCTCTAAACACATCGAAATTGAATAAATCAGTATTAATGAATTAGGTATATTTTACTTAAAATTAATATCCCAAATTTTGACTGTCCAATCAGCTGAGCAACTAATAAAAATTTTTGGATGAAATGTATTCCATCGACATGCATAAACAGCCATATTATGTGCATCAAATGTATCCAAAAATTGATTATTATACGCCTTTGAACATTTATGGATTTTACCTTCTTCAGTACCAACTATAAACAGATAATCTTGTTGTTTATTAAAATCAAAACATGTACCACAACCTAAAATAGTCAATAAAGGTATATACAATTAAAAAGGTATTCTTTCAATGATACCTAATGCTGCCAAAGGGATTCCTTCGGTTGGTTCTATTGCTGGTTGCTCAAGTTTGAGCTGTACAACATCCGTATACATCAAATCACTCTAAAAATTAGATATTTTCCATTTAAAGCAGAAGAAAAATAATTTTTCTCTTTTCTTTTAAATACTAGCTTACTTTGACAAGTGTCCAACAAACAACTCGACCATCAGATGACACCGAATAAAAATTTAAATTATTGTCAAGATCATCTTTTTGCCATCTAACCTGTATGATGTGGTGAATTATTGTTAAATAATAACTTAATTATATTAAAAAAGATAACATCTGAATAAGTCATACCTGCCATACAGGATCAGTATGTTTTCCATTTCGTGCTGTACTCTGATATTTTGGACGTTTATTTTCATCGGCTATATTGTATACAGCGACTGAACCATCATAAAAACCACAACATAATAAATTTGGATGATTTGGATGAAAATCAAGAGACATTACACCACTTTCAGTATTATATATATTTTCCGGAAAACTTGGATTTTTTAGTGAATAGATTAGAAACATTCCACGACTTTGTTTTAAAAAATCGTCTATAAACAAAAAAATATATTATGTATAATAATATTTATTTATTTCTATTATTATTTAGAATTTAGACAAAGTTTAAAAATACATACAAGAGCCATAGGAAACGGCAAATAAATCGGTATAATGCGTATTCCATGCCAAATTTGTACAAGCCAATTTTCTTGCTACATCATGTTGAAATAACCATAATGGTAAAAGGCTTCCTTCTTGTTCACGATATTCATCAGCGGCATCTTCCCAATATTTAAAGTCTTTAATGAATATCAAACGAATAAGTAAAATAAAATAAGTCATAAATACTCTTAAACTAAAACCTTTACACTTACCTTGTGCAATATCATCGAACGTATTCTGATTTATCATTCGTTCGATAATTTTTAATGATATATTAGCTGATTTTGAACGTGCAAATTTAGCCACATCATCACCCTGAAAAATGATTATGTAATCAATTTAGAAGTTTCATATTTTGAATATTAAGAAATGTTTAACCTGTTGTTCAGTAACGACAAATTTTTTCTTTCGGTCATCTTCTTTTTTAACCGTCACCTTTTTTTGTTCTTTTTCTTTTACTTTTTGCTTGAAAATAAAACGAGAAACACGTTTTAAATGTATAAATGAGCTAAAAAGCATACCTGTTGATCAAAATCTTCCTTGTATGCATCATAAATACTCCATTGTGCAACATTATCAGAAAATGGCATTCGTGGTGTCTGCTCTACAAATGTTTCTCGTTCCTAACATTAAAAAGAACAGGAACAGTCCAAATTATCAAATTAAAGGTCAAGACGCCAAAACTATTAAAGGCTATACGACCAAAACTAAAGAGTAGCAGCGAACAAATAATATACGTACTCGACAAGGATTATTATATGTTTGAGATGCTCGTTCACTGAAATTAAATTGATTTGTTAATTTTTTTGCTTTTCCACCAGCAGCAGCCTTCTTTGGTTTTTCTTCGTCTTCTTCATCACCTTCTTTCGTCGTTTCCTATAGACAGAAAGCGTAATTTTTCTTATTATTTAATTATTAGCATAAAAATACTTGATCTCGACGATCGACTGGTACAGCTTCTTCTGCCTCAGCTTGTTCTGCAAAGAATTTAGAACATAAATTAGTGTGTAAAAGTTTCAAGGATAATTTAACAGAAAAAAAAGAAAACTTATTGTTCTAATGAGCCATAGTAGTCTGCACAAAAAATAGTAGATTTAGATGCAGATAAATGATCAACAATACAATAGCAGCATGACTATATACATACATACTAGCAGTCCGACGTTTAACTGAAAGTGAATGAAGCATTTAACTTCTCTGCCTCGTCTAGTCGAATATTTTCTTCAGACATGATTTCACAATTTATTTTCGGATTCAACAAGACTTTTCTTACCTCCATCTTTAGCCAATTGTCGTTTGGCTTCATCAGAATCTCTGTGAATTAAATTACCATCTAACTGAAAATGAACAGCTAATTGATCGACTTGAGCTATAGGTTTGTATAGTCGATCCTAGAGAAAAAATTAATTTTTTTGCGAATTTACAATTATTGATACTCTTATCTATGTTACTTTATGACTAAATCGAACAATATTTTCGGCTGCTTGGGGATTTCGAGCGGTTAATATACGAGTATGTTCTTCGTTTAATTCCTAGAGGAAACAAGATTAGTCAAATTATATCAGATCAAAAAATAGTTTAAAAAATATCTTACCGCATCTGACAGTTTCAATTGATCGTCTGGTCGAACAGGTCTTACATTCTCGTCCGGAAAGTCAGGTACATAATCCGGATCACCATCATCCTAAAATGTTCAATTCAATGATTGACCAATTAGAGTAAAAATATTAAAAAGTAATAATAACAAACCCGCAAAGCAGCCATTGATCCTCGCGGAAGTTGGCTTACACGTCTCTGTCCACCACCCGCACCAATTGCTGCCATAGTCTACGAATATTTTTTTCTCCAAAGATGTTCACGAGTCCTAAGATTATTCACTTACCATTTTCCTGTCCGCTTTGAGTGGCATTTTTAATTGTGCGTGAATATTCAATAATCAAAAGTCGACTCTGAAAATACGCGCTGATTGTTGGTTTAGCATACAACAACAGATTTCAATTGGAAAACCATTATAATGTTACCTGGAAACTCGAGCGTAGTACCGTTGGAAAAAAGTGGAAGACGCAGTTCATTTCAGAAAATGCCTTTATGCGCTAGCACTAAGAAAGCAAAATTCCTTTTAAACAAATTATGTTCATGATAGTAGCACCTTATATTCCTAAGCAAAAGTTGTATCATATGGATTTACTCGTTTAGGGTATACACATATGATTTATACTTCTTAAAGAATGTTGTTGAAGGATCACAGTTCTGTGCCGTGTAGAGTATGTAACAAATACTCTACTGAAAAAATGAAGGTGACCTTCGGTAAAGCCATCACCAACGCACTAGGAGTAAAAGGAACCATAAACAAATTACCTGCATCGTAGTAACTTATCAACGGCACTCATGTGATAATCATTGAAATCAAACTAAAACATCACTTCTGCCAAGATCCCACACCCAAATATCTACACTAAATCAATATCATTGTACCTTTAGTTTCCACTACGATAGATGTCGGTCGTTCATGATTATTCGCTGAAAAAGACTGGTATGGGGTATTTTTCATTCCGGTCCGCCCAGTCTATACGGATACTAAAGCCGCAAAAATGTCGATACTCTTTTCGTGCAGCGTACAGAAAATTACATAATAGTCTCAATCCCCCGTGCATCTACATGCCTTTTTAGGAATGTCGAGTTTGGACCTGTCCTGTAATAAGTACCTTTGACCGGGTTTTTTTCTGCATCGATAGAGCTTACACCGTTGCTCGACGTACCACATGAAAGAGCAGCTCAAGTAGTACAAGTACTGATGTTAAAAGCTTGTCTTGCCACCCTCTCAGGGACATGGCAGCTGTTACAAAATGGCTGACAATGAGAAAACGGCATTCCGTATTTCTTCTGAACGTAAAATAAAACGAAACGTTCTTTTATTATAAATGAAAATAAAGCTGAAGAACTGCCTAATCTAGTGAAAAAGAATTAACTCAGTACCTATCTTCCTCTTTGAGCATGGCGTCCATCTTTGAAGACCCCATTTTGGATTAGCCAACTTTGAACAATTCATTCATCTCTGGTACTGGTACCAAGACATGGGAAGCCTTCGCTTAAATGCTCCTATGGCAAATTGGAATATCACAGATGGTGATATTCCCGTGGTGGTCCCACTTCCTACATGTACGGGGAAGAAAAGAATTGTTTAGTTGCTTCTAAGGTTGTTTTAGGGATAGTGTACTGGTACCGATTATTCAGTCTATCCGTCATTCTGCTAGTTAAAGGTGTGATCATGTTAAATCTTGAAAAGGCGCTTTTTCCTATCATAATTTTATGAACATATAACAAACGAAAATATTTTCGTCTTCACCTAAATCAGGAAAAATTTAATTTGTTACTAGTACAAAAAAATCAAAAAAAGTGTCTTGATAAACACTCGGCTGGCTTCAGAATGCGTCTACAGTGCGTTTTGAAGGCACGCCAGAAGCATTTTCTCATCTTTTTACTGTTAGTCGCCTTAATGTCTCCAAAACACAATGCACTAGTTACGGTCAAGACCCTTAATCACTCCTAAGCTACAGATAAATCACGTAGTCATATTTAAGACGTCGAAATGCGTCGAGACATGTCTCTTTGCTAAACAGCATCCAGTTATCCTGGTGCCCAGTCAAGACATCTCTAGCAAAAGAAATATAGAGAAAAAAAGTACTCTATCGGCATTGTTTCTCCTGCCATTATAGTGACCATCATACTCTTGAATCAAGTTCTGAATTTTCGGTGAGAAAGTCATAGTTTTGATAAAATCTTTAAAAAAGGAAAAAGCCGTAGAAATTGAGGAGATTCCCGTTCAATTTCTACAATTTTGCGCTGATGTACTAGCAACACAGTTACATTTTCTTTTTAAGAAATCATTAGAAAATGCGATTTTTCCTGAGTTACGGGAATCGGCGGATCTCGTGTACAGTTTGTTTTCCATTCCCAGTTTAGTACCGTTGATGCATTCTTTCATGTCACCACTGAGTTGAGTAACCATTTTAAAAAGAAATAAGATCATAGGGATGGCCTTGATTTCTCAAAAGCGTTCCACAGGGTACCCCATCAGTTACTCCTCGCAAGATTGTCCCTAGCAGGTATCGGTGGGCCGCTCTACCAGTGGTTCAGCTCCTATCTCTGTGAACGAAAACAAATTGTTTCCGTTAATGCAACGGTCCAGTTCAGTAACTGTAGTTTCAGGCGTTCCCCAAGGAATTACATTAGATCCCATTCGTTTGCTCATTTTTATCAATGATCTTCCCAGTATTTTTCTCCCTACAACAGTTATTTGTCTTTTTGCTGACGATGTTATTCTTCTTGCACCTGTACACGATTTTACAAATTTGTTAAATGCTCAACATGACCAGAATGTCTGAATTAGAACTGTAAAAGTTACCGTTACTTCTTCGGCCGTTATCGACAACGCTAACTGAAAAGACAGTTACCGTTAAAACAACGGTAACTGTTTATATGATTCTGCTGCAAAAACGCATGTACAGCCACTAGTTTCTGTTCAAAAGGTGGCAGCTAGAATAATTTCTCTATTTTTTCCACCATAACTCACTTTTTTATGTAATAAAAACATCACATTCAGAGTCAACGTCCAAAACTGAGTCGAATGATAGGTGTTTCGAAACTTTCGTTGATTTTCAGTTTTGGGTGAAAATCTCAGCAATTTTTTTACGCGAAAATTCAAAAACACAAAAGTGGGCCGATAGGATAGGAAAAGTACATCGTTCGATTCAGTTGTTGACGCTGGCTCCAAATATAATGTTTTATTACTTAAAAAGTTACAGGCAGAATTTCGGGTTTTTCGCTCCTGATTTAGAAAAAAGGTATCTTCTTAGTAATAAAGCAAAATAAAAAAAAAGCGATGCATACCCTTTTCTCCACTGATACGATGATTCGACCGAAGATAAAATCTTTTATCTCTTAACCGGAAAACTAGATAGGTTTGCACGATGATCAGGGGCTCTTTTCCGATTCTACTCGGGTTTCTCAAAATCTGACTCCATTTTAACTACGGAAAACGTCAAATTTGGTTTTCTATAGTCCGTTTTACAAGCCGAATCAGAAAACAATTAGATTCAAAATCATAGAACAAGAATAAATATGAAAATTTTGCGTATTTCTTAGAATTTCATGTCTTTTTGTCTCTTTTAAAAAAATAATATTTTGAAAGTTTTTCACCCAAAAATGATTTCAGAAAGTCTAAGATGGACTTTTTTCTATGTGACTTGATGAGCTCTATCAAACTATAGCTGAGAAAACGAAGAAAAGCTTCTACTCCATTTTTGCATTATTGACACCTTACGTTCACGCAAAATTTTGAATTTTTCAACACCCTCCACGACTCATGTTAAAACTATCCAATACACATTCACCTTTTGTTTTGTTGAGATACATGATACATGGGAACCACTGATTTGATAACATATTTCGAAAGTTTTTCGTCACCTAAGTGATTCATTACTAAAAGATCGGCTTATAGTAGCCTACACTAGGACGATGTTTTCGTTTTTTTGATGAGCATCATATGATGCATATTTATGAACTTGAAAACAAAATATAACATAGTTTTCATAAAATAAGAAACGATAAAAGAGAATACTATGAAAAAAACATGTGACCTATGACGACATAAAATACATGGAATAAATGCACGGAATAATAATACATAGAATGGACACATTTTGTTGGATGAAAAAAGTGTTTCCTTGTGTCGTCGTTTACAACGCATTTTATGTCCTAAGTACAAACATATTTTTGTGCCGCTATTCAGAATACAAAATGCGTTGTAAACGACGACACAAGAACACTTTTGTCATGGAACAAAATGTGTCCATTCTATGTATTATTTTTTGCGCCGTCAGAGGACACATGTTTTTTTTACAGTATACAGTTGATAATCGTACATTATCTGAGATTATTGTATACGAAAATTTTTCATTATCACATACACGAACGGAAAGTAAAAATAGAGAGAAAGAAAAGAGAGAAAGTTGACAATGTCATCAGTATTGGAATGATGAATATCTTCACTAGTTTTTCGAATTTGTTTGTTTCTTTTTGTTTGCTGCTGTTGAACGTGTAATTACTTTTAATTCACGATATTGTATCTAGAAAAATGCATAATTCTGATGTATTTAGGAGGGATAGGGAAGAGATACTGGGAAAATGTGTTGCTTACTAATTCCATATCACTAGGCAATCGTGATATAAAATCGAATACTTCATTATTGTCAATATAATCTGGACCTTTTCGAAAACGTTTAGTAAACTTATTTATAACTAGAAAACACATAAAGAGGATAAGAAGTATGATAAAACAATACGGATTATTATTGTTAAACGTACCAAATGCCAGTAGAAGATATCGTAATGGAATCATATATAAAATAAATGTCACAACAAGTAGAACAATAATGGCTAGCCAAGATAACCAAGGCACGGAAAAATTGAATGTACTTTTAAAAAGAAATAAACAACAGTTATTCAAAAATTTAACAAATAAATGATTATTTACTTTTTTAAACGCTCAGCCGATGAAGCAAGAGTATCAAGTGCTTCTTGGACTTCAAGAACAGTATCTTGAAATGCTTGAATTTTTTCACGAATTGACTTTTTTTCTTCCTATAAAAATAAAATATTAAATTGATATTATCTAAATTTTAAGATTTGAAATTTAACTTTACTTTTGTACTTGCATTCTCATCAATATCATCATCAATCGCCTCATTTTCTATCGCTGCGGTTAAATTCTAGATATATAATATTTTAGTTTTTTAACATATATTATTAACATCACCTACTTCGTCTGTGATTGTATTTGAATCACCCGTATAATACCGTCGATATTCGGCGAGAAAATTTCTTGCAAATAATGCTATTAACGTTAGCGGTAACATGTAAAGTTCAAAATTCCATACGAGTAATACCGATATCTAAATACAATGATAAAACTAGATTTTTAAGAAAAAAATGTATTTTTTATACCACATACCAGAAATGCAAAAGAGCTTAATACAGGATTTTTCCATTCAAAACAATAGTTAATAAATTTGAATACATTTAACACAGCCATTAACATATTTTGTATTCGAGTTATGTTTTGTCGAAGAACCTAAATAATAGTCTATGATTATGTTCTTTAACTTTTACTATTTTATATAGATACATACTGCAAGTTTCAATTTTGGTTCATTTTGAAAATATTTTTGTTCTTTTGGTGTAAATGTTCGAAGCATTGCTTTAAGCTAAAATGAATAAAAATTAATTAAAAATAAAAAGTTTTTTAAATTAATTAAAATTTATATGTCTTACATTTCCATATGCTAATGTCATTTCAATTTCAATTACACCTTTAGCTGGAATTAATAATTTTCGATCTTTTAATGTATACCATTTTCGTTCACCATTTTTAATCTAGTAGATGATATTTTATAGAAAATAAAAATAAGAATTATTATTTAACTCACTTACTGCAAATAATGGTATGGCAATTTTTCCAAGAAATTCGGCAACTTTATTTTTATCTTCATCAAATACAGTTATTTCTAATACGGAATGTATATCACGAACGGGTATCAAAAATGTTTTATTCCAAACAGGAAATAATGTTTTGTAAATTGTGTGAGTACGCAAACGAGTATTATCTAATTCAACAATACAAAATGGATCAGATTTACCATTAATATCAGCTGATTGTAAATCATGAGCTTGATAAACTAAATACACAAAGATTGGTACTGTTATGTAACGTTCAAATAAAAAGTGTCTAACCTTTTACTTCTACAACACCAACATCATAGACATCTTGTATTGTCTTAAGTGATGCAAGTGATGTCTAAAAAAAAGATTTATGTTCACATCTGAGTTTTTATTTGTACACACGAATATCAATCACATACATGACTAATAATATCTTCTTCGGTGATTATTGATGTTAATGATGCATCAATAGAATGTCTAACTGAACTATTCATTAAAACTTCATCTGCCGCTCTTGTATCAGTAATAGTAACTAGAAAAACGAGTTCACCCGCACCATCTTCGAGTTGAATGTTTAATTTATGTGTAATTTCTTCTCTCAAATTTGACAATTGACAAACACCTCTGAGAAAAAAATAGAAGGCGAACGATAATAAGCATTTTAGTGCATTATTTTTATCTATTGTTCTTATTACCTTCCCATAAACTCATCCTTGTTTCCACCTCCATCATAATCCCATACAGTAACTTCTAATGGTGGAACAGACGTTTCAAATATATAAAATAAAAATTGTTGTTGCCAAAGAGGATTCAGTGATTTTCGAATGGTCTAAAAGAAATGGATACGTTTCGTTTTGAGATAGAAGTTGAGTATTAGCCAGAGATGCGCGGAAAAAAAATGCAAGGGATTGATTCATCATCTGAAAAATTTTCCCGATATGTTTTTTCTTTTGATTTTTCTTCTTTATATCGTTTATTCGCAGCTAAATTATATATTTTCTTCAAAGGCATTACAAAAATTTTGCGCAATTAAGACTCAAAATTTTGAAAGAAGAAAACATGTTATGGGACGAAAATAGGAGAGTGGCAAAATTGTTTCACGCTCACCTAGAGTGTTGATGATTGTGGTTCAAGAAACGAAGTACGGAGAAATTACCTTAAAATTACCTTCGATCTATATCTTTCTACACCCAACTTCATTCGAACATATGGGTCTGCTTTACCATTTGCATCCATACTCAATAAGTTTTTTCCTTCTACTAACAGAACTTCAACAATTTTATTCCACGCAACAGTTTTATTTGCTATTGGTTTTTTCACATCCGCTGATTGTGGTGCTTGTTGTGATATCGAACGAACCATCTAGAGCCCAACAAAACATATTATATGATGATTTGAGATTGCAGTTTTAAAAAACTTACTTCTTCTCGATATTCTGTTGATTTAGGTGTAAGTTGATTTAGTTTTATGTAATAAAAACATCACATTCAGAGTCAACGTCCAAAACTGAGTCGAATGATAGGTGTTTCGAAACTTTCGTTGATTTTCAGTTTTGGGTGAAAATCTCAGCAATTTTTTTACGCGAAAATTNTCCATACTCAATAAGTTTTTTCCTTCTACTAACAGAACTTCAACAATTTTATTCCACGCAACAGTTTTATTTGCTATTGGTTTTTTCACATCCGCTGATTGTGGTGCTTGTTGTGATATCGAACGAACCATCTAGAGCCCAACAAAACATATTATATGATGATTTGAGATTGCAGTTTTAAAAAACTTACTTCTTCTCGATATTCTGTTGATTTAGGTGTAAGTTGAATGTTCAAACGAATAAGACCGACTTTATCATCAGTTCGATTCTCATTGTCGATTTCAAGCGATAATTCATGTACTCTATAATTATATGTTATACAATGATACAGACATCAATCACCAACTAGAATTAGACTCCTGCGGGACAGTCCCGAATCCCACCTCGTCTGTCCCGTCCCGTGGGGGTCGGGACAAGTTGCAGAAAAATGTTGTCCCGTAAGTTTTGTCTTTTGATTGTAATTATGCTGCAACTTCAAATGTTTAATTCTTGTAATACTATCAAGTCAAAACTGTAATTTTATAATAACTAAAAATTAACTTGGAGAGGTGAAATAGTTAAACTTGAGATCCATATCTAAAACTAGGTTTACAGTTCTTTACTTTCGATTCTAAGGTACAGCGTTTTCGATATAACTTTGGCAAGTGTGAGGGAAGTTTTATGGAGCAACTCTATCAATTTAGCTGATAACCAAACAAAAAGGCTTTTGACTTTTCGGAGTAATTTCTTTTTTAGTAGGAGTAAATTTTTTAAAATGGCTTCGGGACAACATTACTTGTTCACGGGCTCGGGGTTACAGGACGGGACAAAAATTTTTATGTTTGGACTTGGGACAATAGAAACGTTTGTTCCGCAGGATTCTAACTAGCATATATACTTACTTCTCTAATTCTAATTTTGATAAGTCAATCGTTATATTACCCATTGGATCATCTCGAATTGCACGATCATAATCAAATATACTAAGAACTAATGGTATAGAGCGATTATCAATGAAAAATTCAAATTTTTCATCCCATATTGGATTTAAATTTTTAAACATTGTTTGTGATTTGTAGACAAGACTTTTTTTATACGTAAATTTTACATACGGATCACTACTACCTAATAAAATAAAGAACAATATTTAAAAGTAGAAAACTAAGTCGATATTTATTTGTAATAATAGAGTTTTAATCTCATATTTTAGTCGAGCCGTTTATAATCCACAGAATGGATTTGATATGATGTCATGCATCATCCTATGGATAACATGAATAATGAAATCGTTTTTTCTACTCTCTTTCTTTAGAACTTATGTGCACTATAAGTGTTATGGGTTGATGGTATTTGCTTTTTTAAAACGTTTTACTAAATGACCAATTTCTAATTAGGTAAATATGAAATGTCTTTTCCTTCAACTACAATAATCTGTAATTTTATTTCATACTGATGTTCGTTTTGTGGGAAATTTAAAAGACAGGCTCACAATTGAGCTTGTCATTAAAATACACTAACCCCAAAAATCCTTGATAGCTAAATCTTTTCCACGAATAAGGTGAACATTAACTCCATAATGACGAGTTTCTAGTACTTCCGGTGATGCCGATGAATGAGGATCAATAGCTGTATTCACTAATTCACTGTGGTTAATTAAGTCGAACTCATTAGCAGTCGTTGTAGCTATACCATTACTGTCAGTTAACTTTTCTCTTTTTAAGAAAGATAGATTTTTTAATCGTCCCTGTATCAAAGGTGGAGAAGGACCATTGTTAGATTGGTCAATATCTTTTTCAATATCATCTTCTAGAGTTGTTACTGTTGTAACAAGATCAGCTACAGGAGCTACAGGAACATTGTTTGACGATTTTGATTCCTAAAACAAAACAAATATATGTAAACGTCGATCATAGTCTGCAAAAATAGTTAAAAATCTGTCCTCTAGTGCAAATTCTTGAGTCTACACGCTGTATGAAATAGGATTAATAAGACCTTCAAACATTTTATGTGTCAAAATATTCGGAAGAAATACAACAAAAACTTTTTACTACAGCGGTATAGCTTCAGAATGCTTCATTGTACAATTGATAGACAATGAATATAGAGTATAATTATCTGATTATTGTGAAGGAAAATATACATCAAGATATGAATGTCTATTTCGTTAAATAGAGAAAAAAAGAAATGAATGTCACTAGCTTACTTTTATGCAGGCGCACCATTTCATGGTATAATAAAGCTTAGATAACGTTTTTTGTTTGAAAATAATTTCCCAATTCTTATCGTCATTATCATTGCTTTATAAGCAAGAGTGTACATTCAAATAGCAAAAGAAAAGAAACGAATTTAATCATCTCAAATGCGAAAAATAGATAAGCAAATTAGATAAATGTATTTAAATACGTTTGGTCGCTCGCCTGTGTACCGAAAAAAGGTGTTTTACTTTTCATTTCTTTCTTACGAATATTGTTATATGCTCTCTATTTTTAGGAAGTCAATTTACTGAAGTAATCGTTGTCACATTTACTCATTATTCTATGCCATTTACGTTAAATTTATCTGTATATATATATGTATGTAACAGATGATTGTAACAATTTGAAGTTATGTCTTCCATTACACATACATATAGATAGAGAAGAAGAAAAAGAAGAAAAATACTAGTCATGAATGTATGTCTTTTAAAATATCAGTAGATTTCAAATGTATAACTAATATTCTACATAAATTATGTGTGTTTTTTAACGAAGTTGAACAAAAGAAATAATGTTTAACTTCTCATAATGAAAAATACATTCAGTAAGATATTGGTCTAAGTTGTAACCATCAAGGAAATAAAGTTAGAGTGGTTTTATAGATGATACAATGACCCACTCAAAGTATAAATTATTCTCTTAACTACTTGTTTTGACATTTATCTACGAAAAACTAATTTTATATGAACTGTTTATAACATGTTCAGACGTACATGAATTCTAATTCTGATTCAAGAAAAAAATCTAATTATTATTGAATGTTATAATTCAATATCTACAATGCTTTTGCTTTCCACAATCAATAATAAAAAAAAAACAAATTTAATCAATCAAAAATTGGCATTTCCTATAACATTAACACGAAATAAAAATGTCTTTGTTGATTTTAATGACGATAATTTTTTCCTATCTGAATACAAATATAGTCATAGTTTTACTTGAGTTTAACGTTTTTTTCATTAATCATATCCTTTTTACTTTCTATTACATAAAAAAAAAAATAGAACTAAAGGTGATATGCAAATGATTTCAGAAAAAAAATGTCTTTTTTTTTATACCTACTCAGTGACTGGGATAAATTTTGAAAAAATTGTATGACACACATTAATAATGTGTTAATGTTTTGAAACAGATCATTACACTCATATCTAGTCGTTTATTCAAAGACCATGATATATCGATGTTACGAACAATTTTTCAACTAAACTATTATTAATAGAAGATGAAATAGAAAATTTCATCAGTTAAAATTACTTAGATAGATGAAGAGCGAAAAAGAAATTGGACTTGTATGTGAATTAGTATGCGAGAAAAGAAAATTTATTGAACCCAAGTAACATTGAATTTCTAGATCACTACTGTAACATTTCAAGTTCAAGGTCAAATTTATTTTGCATAAGCAAAGACATCACAAAAGAAAGTAAACGTTTAGTAATTTATAACATCTGATAAACAGAAGCC